AAAACCAACAATTTGGCACTATATGAGTCCGAAAGCCGGTGTGGCATTGGTCCCAAGAGCAAGACAGACCAGGAGAGGATCAGGAATTGAGCAGCCAGGTAATTATATAGAATTGGTGAATTCTGGTACCTTTTGGTACGGCAACGTTGTGAGGTGATAAGTGAATTATGTCTCAAGTGTTTGTTATTAGGATTTGATGGAGGAAGCATATGACGATGTCGATTTGATTGAAGCAATGATTTACTAAAATTATATTCTAGGATTTCACGTCTAGATTTAAGTGTCATGATGTTGGTGATTTCCAGAGCTTCAGTATAGGACCTTTGTTGATTAGGGATGTGAGCTTTACCTAGAATAATCCTGCCTGACTGCTCTTTTCTGGACCCTCTCCAATCAGAACTGTCAGAGATGTATGCCACACCGGGCAGCAGTACTCAAGGATCGGCCGTATATAACAAGTATAAACATATCACTGACAGAAGCACTTCTTTTTAAGAGACTGAGTGAGAATAAACGCCAAGAGGCCTATTACAAATTTCACTCACATGATTATCCCAACTTAAGTTATTTGTGACATTAACGCCCAGAAGTTTAAGTTTATCAACATGAGAAATTGTATTATCCCCAATAATAAACGATTCAATAAGAGTGGGTTTCTTGAAAAAAACTTATTTTCATGTGGTGACATTTACTTTTTACTTTAATTATGTAACTTAATCGATTGTCCTACGTGGCATATCCATTTAACAACAGGGGACTTAATGGACCAGTACACCGGGGTAACCCCCTACTCTTCTCGAAGGATGTACCGGGTTCTTTAAAGTGCACACGAGCCAAATGCGTACACTGTTCCTACGGTTGAAAGTCCGAGAAGACTTGTTCCACCAGTGGAACCATTGGCGAATGAGCCGTTCGAACCAGCGCCGATATTATAGCTGAAGGTTATGGTGCCCCTGACTTATGACACTATGACAATGGCTGGGTTAAGAAATTATATGATTATGGCACCTCTAAATGGTTGAAAATGGCACGCTCAGATTTAAATTTAAATACAATTCTCTTTTTATCCATTAAAACAAAAAACAAAAAAGAAAAGAAAAATTAGACTCCCTCCCCTTGAAACTTTAAATATTTAAGACGAAAATAGGATTAAATTGTTTTTGCTATATATAGGCCTATATATATATATATATATA